TTCGTATTTGGAGACTTGTGGTGGGCTTGTTAATATTGCCAAAGAGCCGCCGCTCTTTGAGACGTCTCCCTTAGTGGGCCAGGGCTTTGCGCGAAATTCGCCGGTCCGGGTTTGGCCTTCGTAGCCGTGCCAAGGAAGAAGAAGGGACACGAAGATCGACGACGAAGGCAAGCGAGATGGCGATAGGGGGGAACGAGGGGGGAGGGGGGGGTGAAAAAAAACCGGGACCGAAGGGAGCGAGAGCACGAGAGAAATGCGTGGGAATTGAACCATGTGGTCGGCCGACTGGCTCGCGAAATATCGCGTTGCGAAAGTACGCATACACATACAGAGGCAACACAACGTACACGAATTACCGGTACACGTGGAGGCGGCGCGAACGCGAAACCGGTGCACGTATATACCATGTTTCGAGGTCACGGGGAGTTTCAGAAAGAATCACGCGCGAGATAATTAGACCCGTCTTTCATGAAGTAACGTCGTTTTGGTAATAACGAGGTCCCAAGCCCCGTCGAGTAAATGGCGCTCCGAACAAAACTCGCACAATCTAATGTATTTATACCGTTATTAAAAATGTTTCCGTATACACAATGAAGTAGGTCTTGTTACGTGTGCGAGAGTAAAATGAAAGGTCCAACATTATGCAAAGTGTCGAAAAATTCCAAGTATTCTAATAAAAAGGTTCTCGAGCAATTAGATGAAAAAGTTATTTGCAAATTCCTTATTTGAAGCAGCAGTTTTTGAGATAATAAAAAGGGGTTTAATGATCTATGGCCAATTACAGACTACGTCTAGACAGCCACCTGTCCATAAGTCGCGCGTGTATCGTGCGATAGTATTAATGCCGTTAATGAGCGCGCATTTCAACACAGTAATGCTCACAGATGGCCGTCTAAACATAGTCTATTTTCAAAACCGTCGCTATCTTAAAAACTACTGCTTAAAATAAATATTTACAAATAACCTCTTTACTTGACTTTTCGAGTATTTTATCTCACATCTAATATTTCGAATATCGCGATTAAGTATACAAATTTTTGATGTTCAGCAACTACTTGACGAAACATTTTTGCCGAAATTTTTTTATGTACCTAAAAAATAAAAGACAGAAACGGAAAGCTGTATCTTGACGGCATAGACGATAGATTACGAGTCGATATGACGACGAATGTAAAGATGGGCGCCGTACGTATATATACGACACGTGCTCGATTACGCAGCGCGCTGCGACTTGCGATCAGCGCGAGATCAGCTGTTAGTTCACACCGCCAATTACGAGTCACGCGACTGTCGAGGTTCTTGTCCCGACTGACACACATGCGCATTGTACGCCTACCTTTAATCGTCTCACGAGGCACCGCGCGGCGTTTGGCGCCTCGTCTCGTCACGTCTCTCGCGCGGTCCACATTCCCCGCTAAATACCCGATTAACTCTTGACCCCTGCGTGACCGCGTTGTCCGAACGCGACGTTGCGCAATTTTTAGTCGGTGCTATTTTTAAACGCGCCGGCGGAATGTTATTAGCGTGGCTCATTTCCATGCCGACTCTCTGCTTTCCAAACACATCTCCTCAAGGCTTCTGAAATTCCTGTCTCGCTTAGCCTTCCATTTTCAACGCTGAATATCTCGACTGAATCTCAAATTACGAATCTATTAAAATAAACTCGACTGGTATTTAAGGAAATCAAGATCTTTATTGAATCTCTAAACTTTAGTTAAAAAATATAAAACAAAAAAAATTCTCTTCCTTATTCAATTGTTTATAATTGTAAAATTACTGATATCCTAGTGTTTTATTAACAGAAAAATTTTAATTTATTTAAAGAAATCGCAGACAAAAGGCGATTCAATAAATGTCCAATATCCTACGGATATGTATCAATGTTTCTCCGAGAAACGCGCACTTTAGTGTAGTCGGCTTAGTATTTGCGCCGTGAAATACCCGCCGTAATCCGTTCCCACGATTGACCTTACTTCACAAAGGTGGCACAAAGCTGTAGGGAACAAGTTCGCAGGTAAAGATTTACGAGGGTCCGTCGTATATTCATGCCCAACAGCGCTAACCGTCTGATATCGAATTTTATTTTTTTGTGTGCAAACTTTACTTTATATATTTATTAAGAGACAACAAATCACGCATGCAAATATTTATTAATCATCGTTAGAATAACACATAATCTTATACGTAACAAAATATTATTTACAAATCAAGACGGGATGTTACTCTTTATAAAATAAATGAATAAAAAATATACTATCACAAAAAAATCGTAAAATCCTAAAGTGAAAATTTGGAGAAACTGAAAATATTTTGTAAACGTTTCCTTACTTATTCCTAATATCACTTCAGATTGAAAATCAAACATACGTGGAACGTCAAAAATAACACACCAATATAGGTAGAATCTGAAGGCCGATTATGTGATCGGACCGTGATCGCATCAGCTGATACTTGACAGTAATGACGTCAGCGTCCTGGCAGCGTAGAAATTAAACGAACGCTGTCACACGACTGTGAAGCTAATGGTTTAAGCCCCGGCATAACTAGGCGAGCGATCCAAACCGATTGTACGAGGATTTAGTTGTATAGCGTGGGATCGGACGCCGACTTTCACATGGTAAAATTGACCGAAGATCCAAAGCGCGCGGTGATTCATAAAGGCCGCCAGTGGCGGCGGCTTGCGTAATCATCACGACGCGCAAACGCAAAGGGAACGATTGAGTTTTATTGACAAATTCACCTTGCCAAAAGAGAGGTAGGTCGTCGTTTCCGGTCCACGTGTCAGTCTGACTCGGCCAGACATCGTGCGTGTTGGCCCTAATGTAATAAAATTCTTCCGGTCGGATGGCACCACCTTAACTCGCTATTCCGAGGCGCGAGATCCGTCTGCGTTTTTCAAATAACGATTAGAAAGTCTTCAAATACGTACCGAAATTCCTTATTTGGCGAATGCAGAGAAAATTCTTTTTTGTTTTCATTTTTCGGCACTGTATACGTGCAAAATTAGGCGAAAAATAAAATGCGATTCATTTATGTGTTTAATGAGAGCGTCATTGCATGCCAGCGGTATTTTCGAATTGTATGACCAAACAAGAGCAATCGGTTTTTTTTTTATGTTCGCTAATACATATCGAGTAGAAGGTCTTCCCTTTAAAGAAAATAAATTATTAAAATATCTTGCAAGACAATAAATCATGCAATATGGATCAGTCGGATTTTCACGGCATTATTTTTCATCGTTATTTTTCTTGTATGGTCTTGCATAAAA